GTGTTGCTGCTGGATACCTGTGTGTAAGGGCAAATTTTATTCCTTGAAAATAAAGCAACCTCTATTTCCTAGGTCAGGAATTATCTCTGTTCAGTGTACTTATTGAAAGAACCATCATCTGTTCCCTTACTGCTGGGGGCTTCTTAAAGAACCTTGGAGTGTATTGGAATAGTGGGGGGGGATTTTGGGGTGGGTTTTTAAATTTTTTTTAAATTTTTTTTTTTAAATCAAATCCTGTTTGAAGAAAATAAAGAAAAGCTTTTTACAATCTAACTACATGTCCTAGTGGTAGACTCTTAGATTCAAAATCTATATAGGAACATAATTGTGGCTCCAGTATGATGTCATGATAGCTGAAAATTAGTACTCTTAGGAAATAAGCATGAATTAAAATGGGCAGCTGTATATTTTTATTTTTCCATACTTGTGTCTTGTGCAATCATGACAGGAAAAGAAAGAGGTGGAAAATGACAGAAGAATGATTGAAGTGATTTAAAACTTTATCTCCAAAAGGTTTATTGTATGTGTAGTTTTTTTTTCTGATTTGTTTTTCAGATTTCAGCTCTGTGGGACTGAACTCTTGATGTCATGCTTGATGCTCTAAGTATCAAGGAGAAAGCTTTGTGGCATTAATTTTATAAATAGACCCAGCACTCAAAAATAGTTGTATTGATAATCAGCTTTGTCTGTCTTAGTCCTGAAGTGCTCACTACTGGTTTGTGTAACTGGAAACTTGGTCATACATAAAACTGCTTTTGGGAGCTGACCTGTGCAATGGCATTTAAGGAACTGGTCCATAAGAAAAGTGTGATCCTGTGTTGGCCTTGAGTTGAAATTTTGCTGTCTAGTGGGCTAAGAGGAAGTTGTATCCTCACTAGAGTTTCTCTTTTACTACTCCCATAGTTTCATGGTTCTCCTGTAAATTGATGACTCCACTCAGAACTGAGCCTTGCTGCCCTTCTTTTGAGTTCTCCTGCCTGGATATAGTGTCTGCTGTGCTGTGCCATGGTGTCACACAGGGAGCTGGGGATCCCTGCAGCTGGCCTGAAGTCTCTGCAAAATCTGTGGTGTTTCCTAGAAACAAGGCTGGTTGTTTAATATTAATTAATCTGTGTCATCAGTAGTCTGTTTGTCCTAATATGCTGGGAAAAAAAGATCCTGTTTAAAGGTAATAAATTGTTGACCAAAGGGACTTCTTGTTTGTTTGGCATAGTGATTTTAGTTGAAGTTCTCAGTGCTATTTCAGGAGTTAAGAAATGGGGTCTGCAGGATTTTTTCTTTCTTGATGAGTTAAGGCCCTAATTAGGGACTTAGGTTCTCCACAGCACTGCTCCTCTCACATACAGCATGTTCTGTGCCTGTTCTGGTCTCAAGTGTAACACAAGATCTGGTTTCAGTCAGGCGTAGCTCCACCAGAACTGACCATCCCCAGGGCTTTGTTTGCTCCATACTTCACTGGTGCTGTTAAACATTGATGGCTGTGTTCCTGGGCACGGGAACAGGGCTCTGGCAGGTTAATGAACACTGTCCCTTTGCTTTGGGGAGCCCTTCAAAGTCCACAGCCCATAATGGCAAATAAAACCTTTTCTTTTTCAGCTCTGTTACAAACCTGGAGGGGTTTTGCAGCTGGGAATTGGGTTCTGTGTGCACACTTCCATTTGGGACGTGCAGTGTCTCCACGGCCATTGTACAGATCTTGGCCTCAGAAGGGAAATTTTTTATTATTTTATTTTTTTTGTAAACTTAATCACTTCTACTTAGAGGAAAGGAGGTAGCTGCCATGTCTTAGGAAATAAATCTTTGCCATGTCTTAGAAAATAATTGTTCTTTTGCTTTTACTTCCAAGGCACATACATTTTGGGGTGTGGGTACATTGCACAGCTCATTGTCCTCAAGTCTGTGCCTTGTATGGCTGCAGTGGGGCTGTGCTGAGGTCTGGCCTGAGCTGTACAGGCAGCACGGGTGCTAAAACCACTTTAAACTTAAACCTTGTGTGTGATAGTGGTCGTGCTCACTGCCAGAGCTCTGCTGTGGCAGGGGTCGATTATTTATTTATTCATTTCTTATTTTTTTTACACATAACTTTTCGGAAAATGTAAATATGAAAACTGCATTTCCAGCTTGGTGACTCTGCCATCCCCCTTTCTGCCGGAGCAGGAGGGTTGAAAAAGGATGAATTCTGTTGTTCCCTCAGCTTAAAGCACTTGAGCTTTGTGCTCTCGTGTCCCCTCACCCTCCCATCCTGAGCAGAAACACGGCTCTGTGGCTTTGCACAACAGCTTTCTGCTGGGGAGCACAGCTGCTGCTGTCTCTCGGCAGGAGGAGGATAGGAAGGAAAACAAGTAAACAAGGAGTGCTGGAGTCTCCTTGCAGGGGGGTGACTTGTGTCTGCAGTTGATTTGTTAACTTTCAGAATTAGTAACTGGAGTATTAAGTAAGTTTTCTGTACGGTCTCCCACACGGTGTTTGTGAGGTGAGCGACGTCCAGATGGCTCCTGGTTGGTCTGTGAGCATGGACCAGCAGGGTTTGGTGACCTGCCCCTAACTGTGGCACACAGCTCACTTGGGCTCTAGTGCTTCTCTTAGTGTCCTTTCAAGAGCTGGAGCTGGGAGATGGAACCCACCCCTCGGGGTGTGAAGCTGTGGGGGCTCTCTGGGCAGGCCCGTGGGTGCCCGCCCGGCTCCGCCGGCATCATCGCCCTCACAGGCAGCGGCCGGGCCTGGAAATGGAGCCAAACCCTTTCCTGTGGGGAGATGAAAGCAACTCTTTAGCCCTGGGAAGAGTTTTTGCTGCCCAGGCCTGGGGTAACTCCCCATGTGTGTGGTTTTTGCCTGATTTTGATGTTGCCGCTTTCCAAACTCATTGAAGCTTTGCTCTGGGGGTGTCGTCTTTGCCACAGGCTCCTCTCGCCTTCTGGGCATTCTCCTCTGCAGCTGGCTTTGCACTGGCCAGGTAGGGGTTGCTGGCCAGAAGAACAGGTGTGTTGTTATTTAAGGTGATAAAAAAAAAACAAAATAAGAATTTCAATAAAAAAAAAAATTAAAATTTCCTCAGTCCTGTTTCTACAGCATACCTTTTATCTGGTACAGAGCTGAACAGGTTAAGTGCTGTGTTTTGTGATGCCATAAGGTTCTGACAACCAACAATCAGTAAAACATACCTGTGCTTTTAAAAGGTCCTTCTGTTTGTGTCTGTTCTTACTCTAAGTCATGTGGCATTAAAAATAAATCAACTCACCCATCCTCAGTGGCATTTTTTGGGTGGTGTTTTACCACCTTAAGCTCTAGAACTCATTCCAGCTGTTTGTGAGTCTGAGTGTTTGATGCTGAGATTGTGTAGGCTTTGTACCGTGGAGCCCTCGGCCCAGGAGGGACATGGACCTGTTGGAGTGAGTCCAGGGGATGGCCACAAAGATTATCTGAGTGCTGGAGGAGCTCTCCTGTGAGACCAGGCTGAGAGAGTTGGGTTTGTTCAGCCTGGAGAGGAGAAGGCTCCAGGGAGACCTTAGGTGGCCTCATAGAACCTGAAGGGGCTACAGAAAGCGGGGCAGGGCTGGTGACAAGGGGGGGGAGGGGTGATGGTTTTAAACTTAAGCAGGGGAGTTTTAGATGAGGCATTAAGGTGAAGTTCTTTACACTGAGGGTGGTGAAACACTGGAACAGGTTACCCAGAGAGGTGCTGGAGGCCCCACCCCTGGAGACATCCAGGCTTGATGGGGCTCTGAGCAACCTGCTCTAGTTGAGGATGTCCCTGCTCACTGCAGGGGGGTTGGACTAGGTGAGCTTGAAAGGTCCTTTCCAACTCAAAGCATTCTATGATTCCACTTCATTTTGGTGGGAAGCATGTTGGATGTGCTATGTAAACACTACTAAAGGATCAGTATTTTATGTCTGTGCTATACAGAGGCTATAGCTGAAAAAGAGTGATTCAGCTTTGCACAACAGAGTTGGAACATGTCCATGAAGTGCTTTTGCAGAGCAGATAAAGAATTGTGTAGAGGAATATTATTTGCCCAGTGCATTGCAGCATGGAGGTGGATTTTGTTTTCATTCAGCTGTCTTTTCTTTCTGTTTTGTGTCTGGGGTGTGCAACAGAAAACTCCTTGGCATATAATCCAGACTTATACTTCTCAAGGTGCAAAGAAGTTAATATTATGCATGAAGGTCAATATTACAGGGTCAGTGGTTGTGTGGGATCTTTATAGCATCATACACCAGGATTGTGTTCTACAGTAATAACTGCACTATAACAATCTTCAGGTGATTTGTGGACTTTCTATTGTTCCCTCTTTTGTGGTACCACCTGATCGACTGCTAACGTGGTAAATACTGGAGAACAGTGTGACATATGTGCTGGAAATGAGAGTTTCATCTTTTGATGGGTTATTTCTCCATAGATTGTGGTCATCTTCTGGCAACCTTCTCCAAGTATGGTCTGCTTCACCTTCTTCTGATAAAGGTGCAGAACTGAAGGCAGAAGAGATAATGGCACCTAATTTTTAGCTTAATTTTTTCCTGTGCATTGTTCTTCCATAGCTGTTGACTGAGTAGCTGTCACTTTGCTTTCTTTGACCTCAGTCTTTGAGAACTTGATGCTTTATGGCTCAGCCTTCACACCCTGTTCCTATGCCTCATGGCTAAATTCCCAGTGTTTTGGAAAGAAGCACCAATAGGAATAAACTTGGTGCTGTTTTTGTGTGTTTTTTTCTTCCATTTCTTCATTGTATGTAGAAATTGGTGATTTTTCTTTGGGAGGTTGATTGTTTTCTACAGAATTCACTGCTGTATATATTTCTCATGCTGTGAAAGATGTCTAGTTACAATTTTGAGCTACAGTCTAAGAAAACTGGATGTCCTTTGTCACTGGTGTAGCACGGGGCAACAGCTGAGCTAATGAGTGAGGGTATTTTAGCAAGAACAAGCCCCAAACCTCAACCTTGCAGGATGGGATGCCTTAACTGTCAGTGATGTACCTTATCTTCTCTTTTATTTTCAGTTGCTCTTCTACAACGGGTAGCAGAATTGGAAAAGGTCAATGCAGAATTTCTGCGCACAAAGCAGCAACTTGAGCAAGAATTTAATCAAAAGAGAGCAAAATTTAAGGAGTTATACTTGGCTAAGGAAGGTAAGATCTCAGTTCTCTGAATTATTAGAGAGTTTATTAAGCTCTGTCTTCAAATAATCCCTGTATGAAGGGTTTACCTTTGTAATACCAACTGCTCATGCACACCATATGTGGAGTTTTTTTGTTTGTTTGTTTGATTTGTTTGTTTTTCTTAAGGATAATTAGCATTTAAGGGGGTTTTCTACTGAAATAGTCAACTGCACATCCAGCATGGTTAGTGGGATAAGCCATTGTTTTTGTGTCTGATTTACTAAAATTGAAAAATGACAGTAGTCTTTTAAACAGATAAAATAAGAACATAAGGGACAAGCAGAGAGTAAAATCCAATAAGTGGCTGTTCTGCTTCTTAGAGTGAATTTTTAGAATTAAATTTAAAGATTTGCCTGCATGGATTGGAGTCAGCAGAACAATCTGATGTCCATAAAGTGTCATGAAGTACAAGGGCAAGTGCAAGGTCCTGCACTTGAGTTGGGGCAATAAGGGGTTTGAGAGCCTTTCTCTGAGGAGAAAGACTTGGGGGGTGCTGGTTGATGAAGAGCTCAACATAATCCAACAATGTGTGGGTGCAGCCCAGAAAGACAGCTGTGTGCTGGGATGCATCAAAAGCAGCCTGGCCAGCAGGTTGAGAGAGGTGATTCTCCCCCTCCACTCCACTCTCACAAGCCCTGTCCTGTGGTGCTGTGTCCAGCTCTGGAGTCCTCAGCACAGGAGAGACATGGACCTGCTGGAGCAGGGCCAGAGGAGGCCACAGAAATGATCTAGGGGCTGGAACCCCTCTGTGTGAGGCCAGGTTGGGAGAGTTGGGGTTCTTCAGTGTGGAGAAGAGAAAGTTCAGGGCAGACCTTCTTGCATCCTGCCAGTATCTGAAGGGGGCCTACAAGAAAGCTGGGGAGAGACTTTGCAAAAAGGCTTGTAGTCATAGGATGAGGGGTAATGGCTTCAAACTGGAAGAGGGTAGGTTTAAATCAAAAATTAGGAAGAAGTTCTTCAGTCTGAGGGCAGTGAGAGACTGGAACAGGTCGTCCAGGAAAGTTGAGATGCTCCATCACTGGATGTATTGAAGGCCAGGTTGGATGGGGCTTTGAGTGACCTGGGCTAGTGAGAGTTGTCCCATGGCAGGGTGTTTGGAACTAGATGAACTTTAAGGTCCCTTCCAACCCAAACCATTCCATGATTCTGTGATACACACAGAAACACCATCACTGAGTTTTATGCTGATGTCTGAAGTCATGATGTGCTCATTCTCTCTGAACAGCAGCTGATCTGGTAAGTGGAAGGACATCATGTAGATGGTCTGTGTGCTCTCTGCCTGCCTTTGTTATTTTTTTTTGTCTTAAATTTCCATCAGAGGTAGAGTGTAAGCAGACAAACATTATAAAAGTTTTAATACTAGCCAAGGGCATCTATTTCAATAACAGCCTTTATAGGAAAATTTGAACCATATGAGCTCAAATATCTGGTGAAGAATTGGAGAGAGGAGATAGCTGCTGTTTTGAGAGCCAAATTGATTTATTTCTAATCCTGATGATTTTCCTGTCCTTAACATAGGAAAGCAGAGCCAAAAACTAATGCATCAAGACTGCAGCTGCTTGTGTAAGCTTATGAGAGCAGAAATACAACAGGCATGATGAAGATCAGATCCTACAGAAGGCCTGTTTTTTGTGTTTCTAGCAGCTGGATGAAAGGAAATCTAAGATACAAGCCACTACTGATGAGATCAGCAATAATTCTCCCTTTTCAGAGCAGTCAAAAAGTAGAAAATGCAGTTTCCAACTTTCACATGTACTGAAGTGAAAAGATACCAGAGGAGAATGTAAAAGCAATTACATTTTTTTTTTTTCCTTCCCCATTCTCCCAAGATCTCCCCTAAATGTCCACTGGGACTGTCACAACGTGTCCCTAATACTGGTGTTTGAATACCAAGAGCTCCAGGCTCTTGGGCTGTTTTTAACCTGAGGAATGATGCCCCTTAGAGTACCCTGTTAGCTCTGGGTTCCATATTCTCTGTCAAGGTGTGAGGTGTTGGGTTCCAGGGCTGATGAAGCTTTTTGGTACTGAGGGAATGACATGAAGATGACTTGGTCTGTGTTGTGCACTGGCCACATGTTTCTGCTAAAAGTGATTGCTATTGAAGTGGGCTGTGTGGGCAGAAAACTAAATTTTGTGCTAGTGCTTTTGGAATTAATGGTATAATACATATCTTCCAGAGCTGTTTGCCTCAGAATAACTGAAAACTCAGGAGGATAATGTGAAATTAGTTTACTTTCTGTTTATAGGTGCAACAGTTAGAGAAGAGGCAGATGTTCTGCTGAATGTCCCCTGGTTTTTTTCTTTTAGTAGAAGCTCAGATTTAGCAAAGCCACAGCAGAAGGCAAATTAGGTTGCATAGTTTTTATGCAGCCTCCACATGGCAGTCACAGAGTGTTTCTGTTCAAGAAATATGAAGTGTTCTCTCCAAATTCAGGATCAAGCTGGTGGCAAAAATGTCTTCCTGTTTCTTGTTCTTACCTTTTTCAGGTTCATTACCAGAATGAGTTAAATGATAATGAGCTAACTAAAAGCACAGTTCACTTCTGTCAGGTCTGTTGATTCACAGGTTCTATCTGCAGTGTGTGCTTTGTGACTGCATCCATGAGAAGGTGCTTTAAAAGTCAAGGGCAAGCAAAGTCAAGAAATAATGTTCCCTAAAGATACCTGCTAACATTTGTTCAGTTGTTCTGGGGAGATGCCTCAATACCAGTGTTTCCTTCACTCCCCTTGTCAGAGCACTGTTCTTTGCCATAGTCACTATGGATACTCCTCAGACTGAATTTATTAATCAAGCTAAATGCAAATACCTTTTTTTCAGAGGACCTCAAACGACAAAATGCAGTGCTGCAAGCAGCCCAAGATGACCTGGGCCAGCTGCGGACCCAGCTGATGGAAGCTCATGCTGAAATGGAGAACATCAAAGCTATAGCCACAGTGTCTGAGAACACCAAGCAGGAAGCTATCGATGAGGTGAAGAGACAGTGGCAAGAAGAAGTAGCTTCACTACAAGCTATTATGAAAGGTAACAACTGGGCAGGCAATGAGACCCCTCTTCTCATCTCTCCTGTGTAAACACAGCACTGCTGGCAGACATTGAAGTGCCCCTCCAGTCCCATCACATGGACTTCTCCCCAGGCTGGCCACTGGACAGTTTTCTTGATGGTCCTGAGCTGTTCTTTGTTGTATTTCCATGTTGTGCAGCTGTTGACATTTCCAAGACAAAACTATGGGCCAGGAACAAAATGCAGGATGTGGAGTGGGGACTGTTGCCATAACTGTTGCTTTTTCCTGAAAGGTTCACAAACAGGGTCACAGTATCCTCAGCCAACAGACTGTAGGCAGTTTTTCCATCACCTGAGTATCCTTTTCCCCCAGAGAAGACAAATCTCCATGTATATTGAGTACACAGGTTCCTCTTTATGATCTACACAGATACATGAACCTAGATCAAGGCTCAGCTGTCAGCTGCTGTCCATATGGAAACAAGAACAGCTCCTTCCCTGAAGGAGTGATATTAATAATAGGCAAATGAAAGCTCTGTGAGAAGTTCTAGTTCCTTTGCATTTTGGAGTAAATAGGTTGGGGTTTGGTAGTTTCTTTGGATAGAGGTGGTTTGTTTGTGCTTGTAGGTACAAAATGTGCTGCTAAATAGCTTGTTAGATATGTACATTATATTGAAATTAGGTGTGACACAGTTTGGGGGCTTGTTGGTGCTGTAGTGATGGTACAAATTGAGGTGCAGTTCCTTTGGGTCTTTTGCTTACCTAGTTGTGTTTTGGGACAAGAGTCAAAGGGAAGAGAGAGGAAGGGAGAGCTCACTGTTGTCCTGCCAATGGCAATAAGTCATGGGCTAGTTGCAGAGGGAGTTCCTGAAGCTCTGTTTTATAACTTGCACTGAAAATAAGTTTTGGAAATGGTGTTTTGTAGAGACTGTTCGTGACTATGAGCTCCAGTATCATCACCGGCTGGAGCAGGAGCGAGCTCAATGGAACCAGTACCGAGAGAACGTGGAGAGGGAAATAGCAGAGCTAAGAAGGAGACTGTCTGAAGGTCAGGAGGAAGAAAACTTAGAAAATGAAATGAAAAAGGTACGTTGATATCTAGTTCTTCAGCTTCTGTTTCGAGATGTGGGTGTTGTGCATGAGTTAGTTTCTACTGCCTGCCATAATTCCTCAGTAATACACACAGTTCTGCCAGCTTTTGGCTTTTTGTTCATGGAAGTCATTGTGACCTAATCTTGCATTTGAATCCCTAAATTTACTGTACCTGATGGTGTGGATTCAGTAAGAGGGTTGCAGCTGAGACCATAGTAAGGTTTGGCCTTCAGCTTGTAGGTGCAGGAGGCCTCATGAAGTCTCTTACCATGATGTCAAATGAACAAGTAAAGCCCCCTTTAGATTTTTCTGGATTGACTTCAGATTTTAAAAATCTTTACACTCCTGCTCCTTTATTCCTTTATTCAGATCTTATAAAGTTCTTTTGAGGTTTTTAATAGGGACTATACTAAAATGTCTTCTGTCTCTCTTTGAGTGAAGCCATGTCTGTGCAACATGGTTCTACTGGCTTCCTGGGAAATACAGAACCTTGCTGTCACAAAACATGAAATGATGAAAGATAATTGCCCTGGAATTCAAAAAGATCTTGTTGATGGTGTTCAAAGATCTATGACTTAGATTGAGGTGCCTTTCTGTTGAGTTTGGATTGTTTTTTTGTTACTGAGTTTGGAGATTTGGTGTATTTCTCCTTCAGACAGGAAGAAAATTGAACCTGTCATAACAGACCAATGTTTTGGAATCTTTGTTTATCATATTATAAAAACTTGCATTTAAGTGAATTTGTCTTCTCAGCAGGCTTATGGTGGTATTGAAGTTATTCTAAGACAATTTTAATGTAGTAAATGATGCTATATTTAGTAAAGGAGTAGGCTAACATCTGATAATCTGCCACATCACAGCATTTCCTTGTTTCTGCTTGCTGTCAGCAGAAGGAATGAAGTATTGAGTATCATGAACATTCCACATAGTAAAAATAGGTAAAATACTGTTTATGTTGTAACAAGCAAGTGCTGTTTGTGTTGCAAAATTGAATTCTTCTTCTGAGACTTAACAAAGAGAGCCTTGAATATTACTGGCTGTAGTTTCATAGTTGCTGTTGGGTATTCAGTGGGACTGCTCTTCCTGTAGTCCTGATTTATAAAGGTAGGAGTCAGAGGAAAGCCTATTTGCTAGAGTACTGACTACAGAATTACTGCCACTGGAATTTTAAGACATAAACTGTTTTTAAGGGAAGGTTTTAGGTCTGTTCAGAGGAAAAAAAGGACTTTTCCTGAAGCTGGAAGGAAGGTTAGGATAGCATCAGTGTGCTGAGTTTTGTAGAAACAACCCAAAAGATGCTGAGTTCATAGTGTAAAAGTCCCAGCAGTGCATTACCAACAAACTGCCAAGAAGATTTTTCAGAAAAGAATCTCTCAACTGAGAGAGTCTTTCCAGTAACTAAATTCTCAGCACTTTTTTTAGTTTGAATGTGTTGGTCATGTAACAGTTGGAGTTGGAAGTTGCTCAGATGACAGCATAGCTCACCTAAACTGAGTGGCTTTGCTGTGTGCCAGTTAGCATGTGGAAGTTTAGGATAGCAGATAAATTGCATTTTCAACTATAGTCTTTAAAAGGGAAATAAATATCCCTCATGATCCTAAAGGAAGAGATGATTGATTTATTAATCTCTGATTAAGATGAGTTTAGAAAGCTTTATAGGCCTGCAAAGCAGAGGAGCATGTGCTTTATGTAACAGGAGGAGGAGGGGGAAATCTGGTCTTCAGAGCAGAGCTTGAAATAATTGCTTAAACTGCTTTGCATGGGTTTTTTAATCTTCTTTGTCATTAAACCTGTGAGTTTTTTTCCTCCAGGAGACTAAGAATTAGATGAAAATGAGGAAAAGGACACAGAATTTTCCTTAAAACCAAATGAGCAAATCCCAGGCCCATATAAAGCTGTGTTTGGCTGGCAAAATAATGAATATTCATGGCTCAGCAGTCGGTGTGAAAGGAGGAATTTTCTTGATCACTTGGGATGTGCTATTTGAAGACTTGTGATCAATTCCTCATGCAAAATGGCATTGCCAGCTGACAATGGTGTGTTTATCCTCCATCCTTATGTACTTCATTATATGGATTTATTATGGGTTTATTTTAATTTAAGGCATAAATTTGGAAATTTTTTTTTTGAAAATAACCTTTATCTTCTAATTAGTTCTAAACAATCTCCAAACATCTCAAAGGAGTAAAAAAACTAAAAAAAAACCCCATACCATCATCTGGAATTCTCAACAAGAGGTGAGCTGAGAAGAGTGGGCAGAGCAGATGGCAAACCTTGTGCTTCAATCCAGGACACCAACCTTCTAGGCTGTCTTGGCTGGGTAATAGTTCAGTTAGGTTCAATTTTACTATAAAATCCATTTTAAATTACAGAGCAAAGCCATGAAATGGAATATTGTGTCCACATAACTGCTAGCAATTATGTTTGTTGTCTGCATACTTTTTCCCTGGAGGGGGATGAAGGGTAGATGACAAATGTTGCTCCAAATTCTGTAAATTTCTCTTTGAATTTAAAGTTATTTGGTTGAGTGCTCATTTTTTTGCTATCTATGCTATCAGACTTCCAGTGTAGATGTTATTTATCCTGGTTTGGGAGTGCTTAGAGCAGGTGGGTGATGTTTGGATACTATTTTGAGCTGTGTTTACTAGATTGTGACAACTTTGCCAGGGGTATCCAAGTCTAGCCAACAAACCTGGCACTTGGCATTCTTGAGCATCCTCTTGTCAGAAGGAGCCTGCCTGGTGGAGCACATGCACTTGTCTGGAAACAGCTGTTCTGCTTCTCCATGTAAATACATTTCAGGCTGCAAATTGCCAAATCTCTGTAGAAAACTTGTGTGTTCTGAGATTGTTATCATAAAGCAGCCATTTCAAAGAAATCTGGGCTGAAAACTGTGTGTCTCCTATAAATGTCCCTTCCCAATTAAAAGAAGTAAATAACCTATTGTAATAAGCATGCACCTAGTGATTCATCTTTCAGAAAACATTTTGATGATTTATAAAAACTTCTCTGTGTTCCTCTTGTGTTGTAATACCAGGGAGGTTTTGGGGTGGGTTTTTTTGTTGTCACAGATGCTAAAAGCAGTCTAGCCATAGCAGCATGCACTTGACTGCAGGTCCTCTGCTTGGTAGGGACTGAACTCCCTCTGGACAGTGACTTGGTGGAGATGAGTCTTGCCCACTGGCAAAATGTGACTAGTCCCTTTTTATTCACACCTCATCTTCCATTCAGGAAAGGATCTGGTCTGCAGTGTGAGCTGTGATGTATAAAGAGTCTTCTTAGCACAGTTGTGTCAAACTCTGAGCAGCAGAAGTCTTCAGAGCTGGTGTTTTGCATATAGAGAAAGCAAGAAAGGAGAAGCCTCCTGTTTTGAAGCGTGCTGATTAGTCAGAAGATGGGAAGTTGGAAGGGGAGAATAATCTGATATCTGTGACAGAGTTGGCCATAAAATCTGATCTACAATATGCTGCCTTCGTTGGTATTGGTAAAGAACAGTGGAATAGTTTTAGAGTAACTTTGAATGGTTTACTTCTACTTTAAAGAGAGATTCTCAAATTGTGTGTTTGTGTTTTCTGCTTGTCTCTTTTTCTTTTTAAAAGAACAAATTCAGGTACAGTATTGCCTGAAACACACAAATTGTGTGTTTGTGTTTTCTGCTTGTCTCTTTTTCTTTTTAAAAGAACAAATTCAGGTATAGTATTGCCTGAAACACACCAAGCCAGGTTTCTGTTCTTCTGTAAACATCTTTTTCTTTCTTAAAGAACAAATTCAGGTACAGTATTGCCTGAGACTTCTCCAGCCAGGTTTCTGTTCTTCTGTAAACACTGGTTGGTGTAACAGCAAAGGGCATCCAGGGTGGCTGTAGCTACCTGTCAGGCTTGCAATGCTGTGTTCTGAGGGGTGACTTGGACTCATTTTTAGCATGTTCTGCCTATGCAGTCAGCTTCACCTGTGCTCTGCAGATCCCTTGCAGGTTTGGCTGGGGCAGAAGCAGTTTGGGTGCTGTGGATTTGATAAGGTGATGAGTAAAGACAAGCTGATCATGTAAAACCTTGTCTTTGCCAGTCAAGTGAAAAGGAAGTCAATACTTTAAGGGTCACACCTCTGGAAGAGTCTCTGAATAATGCCTTTTACCACAGGAGCTGTGGTGCTGTGGCACCTCTTGCCACCTGTGACAGTATCTCTATGGACCATTTTTCAACAGGATAGATATTCTTATTTCCTTGAAAGCTTGAGTGGGAACTTTAACCTCAATTTGGGAGTCTCAGTAATTACACGTTACCTTCAAAAGCAGACCCAGTGACCTGCATGCACTTTGTTACCAGATATTGGCTGTTCTGAGTGTTTAGCTCAGTATCACACTGACCTTTAATATGGATCCTTACCCTGCCACAGCCTTCCTTTCCCCCTCTCTTTTTTTTGTTTGAAGGAAACATTTGCAATATGTTGCAACCATAGTGTCAAACTTCAGCTCTGTTTACCTAACAGGAAAAGCCAGAGTAATTTTTCTGTCCTGTGGAATTTGGTAGTTTTGTCTCTCCAGGGAGTTTTTGAACCATTTGAAATCACACTGGCTATGAAATATTTCTGCAGTTTTCATGGATAATTGGGAATAAAACTTATTCAGCAGTCCTAAAAGTGGTGGGCTGCCTTTACTCCAAGTGAGCTGGCTGTAGGTTGCAATAGAAGAACAGGACTGATAAATAAATGAAATATAAAACTATCTTTGAAGTTAAACTGCTGCTCCCATCTGTTTGAAAACTGTGACTGGTGAGGTAGTGGCTGTGTGGTGACACCATCACATGTCCCTGGTATTGAATTCACTGCATCATGTGATGTCCCTCACTTTCCTTATGGATTTTATTTGTATTCTTTGCTCAAGCAAACTAGCAGGGACAAAATGTAGCAGAAGTGAATGAAACAGGAAGAGATTTAGTTTTGTTTTGTCTATAGAGTTTCCTTTAAAGCTTTTAGAGCCTGAGGGCCCAGTGGCATTTTTATAATTGACACTTGTTGCAATATTATTTTATTTTGTCAATTGATTTTAAGTTTAGAGAACTTCAATTGTTGAACATACTGTTTTCCTTGCTGAAAATCTTACTCAGAATCCAGTTGTTAATAAGCTTACCAGAAACTGAAAGTCAAATGAATAGCCTCTAAGATCTACATTCTGGTCTAGATTTAAACCAAGCTATGAATATCATCTTTTGGTGGCCATTGTTGCTGATCAGGTCAGGAAAAGTGTCCTCAAGATGAAACTTCAGCTTTGGGAGCCAGTTCTCTGCTTTCTGAGTTCCTCCAGTAGAAGATAAAGAACAACTGAGCATTCTGAGCCTTCGTACATAAACCCAGCTCAAATGAGATTGCTTAAATTCTTTGTGACTTGAAATATTTTACTGTGGTAAATGTTTGAGTGTTATGCTTGGAAGTCTGTGAGAGCTGTTAAACTTTCACTTGGAAAGTTTTTAGTGCATCTGTGAAGGAAAGCCAGAGCATTGAAGAAATGAGGCTGCCATGGCCACCCGTTGACATGAAGTTCTGAACTGGAACACTGAACACTAGTTCTCATCTTAATTCTCACTATTTTCCCTTGGCTCTTTCTCTTTTTCCCCCTTGTATCAGTCTTCTCATTCTGTTGTCCTGCTTTGATCTTTTCACAACTACTTTTTGAAAAAAAATCAATGGGTTTTTTGATGAATTGTCTGTATATAGCTTTGAAATACTTAGTACAGTAACACCAAAACCTGATGCTACCTCAGCAGTAATTTGAAGTTGAATCTTCCAAACCAGAACAAAGCTATGCAGTGTGTTACTGCACAGATCTTTTATTCATTTAACTTCATGAGTAAGCAAAGGAGTGGCCAATAACTCACTGTGCAGTTCTTGTGTTAGGCTTTTTTTAAATGTGCTATGTGGCAGTAACTTGCAGGACATTGTTAGGTTGTTAATAACAGCAAAGTGTATCTAGTCTGCAATGCCTGATCTGTATCAAGAGTTGATTGATTTGATGACATTCTCCTTAAAAACAGGTTTTTATGGCCTAATCCATACATGGATTTAAAATGTAGGTGCCTTCTGTGAATGGAGTAATATTGGCCTGTTGTCATAGAGACGACTGCTGAACTAAACAGCAGTGAGTCTTGGAAGTGGGAGTTCAGTCAGCTCTTTTTCTTGGAGTAGAAATTTTCTCCAAATAATGGCAACTGTTGTGGTAAAAACTTTGAGTATGTTCCTAATTTATTGCATGAACTTCAGGCCCAGGAAGATGCTGAGAAGCTGCGTTCAGTTGTGATGCCTATGGAGAAAGAGATCGCGGCGCTGAAGGAGAAGCTGACAGGAGCTGAAGAGAAAATAAAAGAGTTAGAAGCATCAAAGGTGAGGTGGAGCTGTTAGTGTACCCTGATTTATACCTTGCATCATGCTACTTTGATGCAGATAAGCAAAGTCACATTTTGTAGGAGAGAAAAAGGGGTATTGTGAAATTCTTAATGCCCATTACGTCTCTTCTCCTTCAGCTCAATAACCTATTTGGTCTAGATGTGTTTTCCCATCTTTCTGTTCTGAGGGTTGTGTTACATGTGTCATCAGTGCTTAGCTTAAATTGCCTGGCTTTAGGTCTACTGGTAATAAAAAAGAAAAAGTTTTAGCAAAATAGCTGCTTTGCACCTCTCCAGCAGCCTGGCCTTTGGATTAGTGTCGTGCTCACAGCCACAGAAAGATTTGCATTTGGTAGAGTTCTTTTTATGTGCTTCCATCCAGCATCTGCTATGTTTCATTTTCTAATCCTGGGCATAAACCTGAGGTAATTCAACAGAATTTTTGTATCTTAAATTTTAAGCAAACCTTAGTTTCATAGAAAGGGATACTGGCCATTGCTGCCCAGAAATCAATGTATGTGATTTATCTGTCGTTCCTGCATCCTTCAGCTAGGTCAGAACCCCTGCTGACCTTCCTCATCAGCTGCCAAGGGTGCACAGCATCTGCATCACTGTAAGGTTTCACTGTTCTATACAGAAATGAAGGTGTATTCTAAACTAAATATTTTATGTTGTAGGCTGAAATTGCAAAGTAATTTACCATGTGGATGTAAGACATACACAGAAATACCTTCCTTGTCTTCTGGGTCACTTGCATTCTCATTTAAATAGATGCTCATCACTTGCTGGAATTCTTCTCTCTTTTTTTCCCCCCCACCATTTTTATTCCAACTTGGAAGTCTGTCTGAGACTTGGGAGAACAGTGTGATTCATTTAGCAGTCTAAAAAATTTTACTACATTGAGAATCCATACTTGAATGTTTTCCTTCTTCATAGTTTCCTTGTTCTTTAGAGGTTAAATTTTTGAGATTGAAATGTTCCTAAATAGTTCTCCAAGTAGTTCTGCTTTTCTTCTTGATTAGATATTTCTGCCTTTTCATTGCCAGGATGAATTTGGGGAAGATGAGGAACTATGAATCTTCCTTGCTTGCTTGCTTGCTCTCAAAATGTTTGTGTTTTGTTTTTTCTTCTCTCCTTTTTCATCTTTTCTTCCTTTATAAGAATAGATTAAAACTTAGCCTTTTTGTGCTGAATTTGATTATAAAAACTGTAGGTCATTCTTGCCTCCTTTCCTTACAGGCAAGGCCTGAGGAAAATTGATAGTGTGTCTGGACTGGGAACTGTGTTGATTATCAAGTCCTCTAAAATCTGAGCATGTTGTTCTATGGGATGAATAAAATGCAAGCAGCCATGTCTTGAAAAAGAAAAAAAGAGAATAATCACTTTATCCATGTTTCTAGTTGACTGGGTTGGTTTTTTTATTAAAGAAGTCTCAGCTTAGGTGGGGATTCCTACCACAGAAAATAACTTGGGCCCTTAATTCTTACCTGGGGTCAGTTCTAATTCATTATTCCTTCTGCTTAAAGTTGCTGGTAGTCCTATTTCAAGTCATCTTCTCAGCTTAATGGGGAAGATTTGCTATTTTGTATCTAGCAAGGAGATATTTAAGCACAAAATTGGGAAGTCATTAAAGTGCTTTAATCTATGGTGCTTTAAAAGTGCAAGCTATTAGTTACATGATTTATATTACTGGATGGGTATGAGGATTGCAGAATGAGCAGTGTAATTGGTTTTCCTGTTGGTTGTGATGAAGTCCCTCAGATCTGAGTGGGCCATGTCATTTTGGTTTTCAGTCTCCAGTACTGAGCTGGATCAATGAAACAATGATCTTTTTCTCTCTCTCTTCCCCCCTCCCCTTCCCAAGGGCTGTTCTGGGTGAGTCAGATTTCTCCATTTCAAAGGCTAGAAGGCTAGCAGATAGCAGACTTGGTGTTCCAGGGCAGGAGGAGCTGTCCCCACCATCAATGGCAACTTAAAGCCCAAGGGCTGTCCTGAACTCTTGAGTTGGTGTCTGGGGCTCCTGCAGCTCTCTGGAGCCAGTTAGGAATTGCCTGAAGGCTTTTGTTTCCTTGAAAATAAAATCTCCTGTGATTCCTGACTCACCAAACCATAAAACTGATAGTGCCATAAAGAAACCTTTCAGCCCATTCCTTGCTCCAAAGTGGGATCTGTATTTCTGCAAGCAACCTGATTGACAGATATTTGTGTAAAAGATCCTCACCAGAGATTCTGCAATATCTGCAGGACTCTGTTAGCTTTGCTATTTAAAAAAATAAAGAAAAAATATCCCAATATATTTTTTCAATCTTTCTTAATGTAATTGCTTTCCATTGGCAGATCTATCTTTCTTTTTGCAGCAGTCTTTCAGGGGTTTGAATGTTGGTTGTTTTTTTTTCTTGTCCCAATATATTTTTTCAATCTTTCTTGATGTAATTGCTTTCCATTGGCAGATCTTTCTTTTTGCAGCAGTCTTTCATGGGTTTGAATGTTGGTGGGTTTTGTTTTCTTGTTGGCCCCCAAGTTTCCTCTCTTTTTAAGCTTACCATCCATGGTTTAGTTCAAGCTTACCTCATAGTTTTCTGCCTGCTGTTATTACTCAGTTTTGAACTGTCTCCACATCCTACTTAGTTGTGGGCTTATCAATGCTGATTAAAGGATTGCTTCATTACTCCTCTCTTAATTATTTGTCTCTTTACCATCTCTGCTGCTGTTGAGATCCAACTGTAACAACTGTGATATACTGATAATGTTTGACTCAGCAGAATTGAATGAGGAATTTATTCAGAAATAAATCCAAGTCCTGCTTGCACACTGGGAGTTGAACATGTGTTATTTCTAGAAATAAACTTGTGTGCAGTTCTGAACAGGTGAGACTATGACTTCTGACAAAGAGGAAATGCCTGAGTGTGTTCCCCCACTGAGGTGGCAGTTTTCCATCTTTTTATTCAGGTTAAAGAACTGAACCATTATCTGGAAGCTGAGTACAGACTTAGAGATGTATGTGGCTGTTCTCAACACACAAAAATCAGTCCTGCAGGAAGATGCAGAGAAGTTGAGGAAAGAACTGCATGAAGGTATCTGTCTAATAACAATCCTTTTGAACCTTTTACACTAAGGATGCAAACTCCCAACAGAGCTGTTAATTCTTTCCTGATTTCTTCTTTGAATTGGATTTAAAGCAGTCGTGGGGGGAGGAAGCAATACTTTTAAATGTGAAAGCCCTTAAAATGTTTACAGCAGAGTTGAATGTGGAGTTCTTCTGTGACAGAAGAAAGCAACAAAGCTGCTCATTCTCTCCAGGAATGCTATTGAATTTCTGCTGAGTTCTTACAGGATTGCAAGCTTCCTTCTTAGGAAAGTGATTTCACTGGTGTCTGTTATTTGTGTGCAGTTGTGAGCATTATTTCCATAATGCATTGGTGTGTCTCCCTGAGGTGTGTCACTTCTGAATGCCTGGTGCTGGAGTGGGAATGCAAATGGACACACGTGCCAGCACAGCACAGAATCCTTGTAGAGACATGAGGAGTGGAACCCTCTCTTGAAATCAATGGGCATGTCAAAGACAGTCTTTTGAAACCAGCACTTAAAAAAAAACCCAACAAGCTGTTAGAATTCATAATTAATTTAAGGCATTAGTCTCCTAATTAGAAAACCTTAAACTGGCAGTAATGCAGCCCTAATCACAAGCCAAGTTTGGGAATTAAGATGTCTTATTTCATGCTAAATAGCTGTTGAACAAAGCCTGGCTGTTCTTGATTAGAACAATCATTACTTTTATTCATGAAAATGCTTCTCTTTGGAAAAGAGGTTCAAGAAAAATGCTGGCTTGGTATTAAAAAAAAATGCTATTCTCTTTTTGAATAGTCTGCCACCTCTTGGAGCAAGAGCGACAACAGCACAACCAGCTGAAACACACGTGGCAAAAAGCCAACGACCAGTTCTTGGAGTCTCAACGTTTGCTGATGAGGGACATGCAGCGTATGGAAATTGTCCTGACCTCTGAGCAGCTTCGACAGGTTGAAGAACTGAAAAAAAAGGATCAGGTTACTTGCTGCTTTCCTTTTTTCCTTATTTTTGGTTTTTAAATCGTGTAGATGGAATGTGCTGTAACAGGTAGGGAGAGCACGTGCTGGAGACAAGTTGTGTGTTAATATTTTAAAAAGTGATAGCTGGCAGCTTTACTAGAAATTCTCCATTAGAATGACAGCCAACAGTTATATCAGAAATTCTCCATTTGTGCAAACATTTTACTATTAATGTATGTAGCAGCTTTATCACAGATTCACAGCGTAGTAGGGGTTGGATGGGACCTCTGGAGATCATCTCATCCAACCCCCTGCCAAAGCAGGGTACCCTAGGGCAGGTTACAGAGGAACATATCCAGGAGGGTTTTGAAAGTTGAAACGCTCCACAGAAGGAGACTCCACAGTCCCTCTGGACAGCCTGCTCCAGGGCTCCACCACCCTAACAGGAAAGAAGTTTTTCCTCATGTTCAGGTGGAACTTCCTGGGTTACAGTTGGTGCCTATTGCCCCTTGTCCTTGGGCACCACTGACAAGAGAGTGGCCCCAGCCTCTTGACACCACCCTTCAGATATTTATCAGATCCCCTCTGAGTCTTCTCCAGGCTAAACAGCCCCAGGGCTCTCAGCCCTTCCTTGTGGGAGAGATGTTCCAGTCCTTTAATATCCTCTTAACCCTCTGCTGGACTCTCTCCAGTAGTTCCTTGTCTCTCTTGAACTGGGGAGCACAGAACTGAACACAATACTCCAGATGTGGCCTCACTGGGGCAGAGTAAAGGGGGAGGAGAACCCCCCTCAATCTGGTGGCCACAATCTTCTCAATGCACCCCAGGAGACCATTGGCCTTCTTGGCCACAAGGGCACAGTGCTGGCTTGTGGTGAACTTACTGTTCACCAGGAGTCCAAGGTCCTTCTCCATGGAGGGGCTTTCCAGTAGGTCAGCCCCTAACCTGTACTGGTGCCTGGGGTCATTCCTCCCCACGTGCAGGACTCTAAACTTGCCCTTGATGAATCTCATTAGGTTCCCAAAAGGAAGGTTGCCAATATTGTGAAATGAAGAGCTATTGAGGTCAAGTTAATCCTGAAGGAAGAAATGGTCACCTGTGAGGCAAAACATCCAGGTTAAGGATGTTAGAGAGCAAGATTTTACCACTTAGTTGGTAAACCCTATAATAATTTAGATCTAGGTAATATGTTCTTTGAGTAAAAATAGTCTAGAACATGAATTGGTCACTAAACTTGCAAAGTAAGTTCTCATTTAAGTCATTTTGGATGTCTTGTGAAATAAACACTACATTTTTAACCAAAAGAATACTCATGTGATAAATACTGAGGCTTTTAACCAAAATAGTCTTTTCCAGTGCTACCTGTGTTGCTTAGTTTATCATCAAAGCTAATGTTGTGACTGTTAGGGCAAAACTGAATCCTGCTTATACATGTTCTCTATCAACCACTGGTTTCTAGGAAGAAGATGATCAGCAGAGGCTTAGCAAGAGAAAGGAGCAGAAGCAAAAAGATTCAGATGATGAAACAAAAGCTTCCTGTTCTCTAGCCCCTGAGGAAACCCTTACCCAGCTCTCCAGTGAAGAGGTAAAACAAGTGGATTGTTCAAAGCAACTCAGGATGCTCAGGCCTTCCTCAGGGTGTTGGTTACAAATACAACTGCAGACTTTGTAGCTCACATTTCTAATTAAACAATGAAAAATCTTTGGAGTTGCACTTGAGTGTATAAATTCTAATAAAGATTGAAAGATGATAATCCTGAGAGGTGCTGTTAAAAGCTGCCATTTGCCTTTTGCATCCTGGATGTTAAATTCTCTTGGGATTTATAACCACATTGTAACACACCTACATTTCCAGAATTAAACCAATTCTATCTGAATATTCAGCAAATGTATTGTAGCTACTTTGCTAACCCACTTGTTGATTCTGTCCTAAACTTACACTGGTTAGACAAGTCTGAGATCAGATTGTGAAGTCAGACAGTTCCATAGCTTCTGCAAAGCAGAATGATCTGTGTGTCTCTATGTATTTAGCTGTGTGAATTGAGGTTTTTGGCCACATCTGCTGTTTAGCAACTAAAAATAACCTTTTTTTTAAAAATGTTTTTTTTTTAGCCAAGCCAGTAGCTGGAGCTCAGCACCAAGTTTTTGCAGAAGCTGCTTGAGCTGTATTAGTAAACCCATTGTAGCAGCCAGAAAACCTGCTGCTGCTGGATGTCATTTGGGTGTTGTCCTCAGTCACACACTGGGACAAGCTGAAAGTGTGCTTGAAATTTGCCCAAACTTGTGAGGAAACAAGCCCAATGAGCACACAGGTTTTTTAAGCACACAGTGTTTAACCTTTTCCACTGCATTTTGCTCATTTATCTATCTGACAGGTTCCATTTTGGTTTTGTAGGTCAAAATAGGGACACATTAATAAAAACAAACCCAAGTTTTGTGCTGTGGAAGCTTGGGTGAGCTTCAAGAGACTTGAGAGTTTGCAGTGTGAGGCAGTATTTTGCCTGTTTAGTTATCCTTTTTGAAGGGAAAAAAACTATATACTTATAGATTCTGCCCTTTATTCTTATCAATAACAGTGCAGAGTGCAGAAAGATGTGTCAAATCATAACATCTGAATGTAGCTGGATCTAGTTGTACCTACAGATTGATATTATTTATAT